TTATTGAATTATAAAAGATAAATATAACTAACATACAATTCTTTCACATTTTTTTATTGTAAATTAAAGTTTAACTTGATTTTTTTACATAAAATGATTATTTAATTGGGTAACTTAACAAAAAGTGTATAAAATAATTTTATTAATTAGTTCATGATAAATGAGATGCAAAAAAAAAATATATGATATATTTTACTATAAATAAGAAAAATTATCACATTATACTAATATTTAAAAGTGATGACGGATTAATATTATTGTAAGTATACTCACATTTTTTCTTATTTTGATAAATTGGATTATGTCTTTTGGTTTTCTTTATTTAATTAAAATAATATTATTTCTAATTATTCTTTAATTTAAATAATATTCAAATAATTGCCAATATTTTTTAAGTAATGACGGTAAAAATATTAGAAAATAAAAAAAATACCACTCAATTAGCAATTATACCGTTTACTTTTCCAACCCAGATTAAAATTTATCAACGCCCATACTTTTCCACCCGATATTTATTTTTATAAAATTATTTTTAATATTTATTTCTCACATCATATTCATAGTAAATTAATTTTATTATGTCATTTCGACTTTGAGTGAATGATAGAGACTTTAAGAACTCATTTTTTTTTAAAAAAAAAATTGCAAAATTGGTCCCAAAAATTACAAAATTGGTCCAATCTAACGTCCTCACATGAGCCCCGTCAATCTTGACGGACTTGGGACCATTTTGGCAACAGAAATTTAGAAAGGACCATAATTAACGTACCTGAAACCAAATGTGAGAAACAACATTCTGGAACCAAATTTTCAATTTTCTCTATATCATATTCGTATATACATATTCACGGTCTATTTAAAAGAGTGCACTGGAGAAATATTTTGATGTATTCTCTCAAACTCACAAATATTATACATGACACTACTGCATTGGAGGAGTCGTTTGGGTTAAAAAAATATATTCATCTTAAGTGACTCATATTTCGACAAACTAATATTACCATTGGAGATGGTATAGAACATCTCAAATTTTATTCTTCTCAAGATTTTGTATTCTTACTAAATTTTTATCCACATCGCATACCTCAATAAATATTAAATTTTTTCTTTATAATTTGAAAATATCATAATACAGAATATTTAACTTTGAAAGTGATAGCTAGATTAGAAAAGTATTTTTTACAATCTTTATTAAAATATTTTTTAAACGTGTAAAATCTCATATAAATAGTTAGATAAAAATAATAGGTAATTAATAAAGTAATATACAGCAATAAAATATTTTTTCTTTACAATAAATTAAACATGGTATAAATACTTAAATATTAAAATTTATTTATCAGAAGCTTTATTTATGCAAAATAAGATCACATATATTTTTTAATATCTGCTATTATGTGTTGGACCGAATTAAAACAACCTAATTTATACATAAGGTTAGACAAAAATATTGATAAATCCTGTAAAATCAACACCGGAAAAATTTACGTGAATTTAACTTGAATTCGATCACATATTAATAAATTTTATATAAATTCAACACAATGTAACCCTCCCTATTGTCACCATTTAATATGAATTGATCACATATTAATAAGTTTTATACAAATTTAACACACCATGACCCTCCTATTGTCACCATAAAAGTTTATGATAAATAATAACACCGCCAAAAATTTTGAAGCATTTAATTTATAATATTTTTGTACTTTAAGCGATACTATANTCAAAGAAGGAGGCCATTGGCCTAAGCGTTAGTAAGACACGGCATGGATCAGAAACCCCAATCTCCCAAACTAGGGGGAGGAGAAGTCAACACATGAAAACCAATCGGCCAAGAGGCGGCTAAACTCGCCAGGTGGTCAGCCACAAAGTTTGACTCACGGTGAACATGTCGAACGTGAATATGCCACTCCCTCTGGACCAATTGCCGAGTGGCCATGACTAAAGTCTCGTGTACCCCAAAGTTGCTGCCGGTCCCAATTATCATCTGAAGTACACAGTTGCTATCGACCTCCACCATAACCTTGCGGTACCCCATATTCCATGCAAGATGTAGCCCATGAAAAATGCCCCACAATTCCGCCGCGGTTATGGTGCAATTGTTAGAGTAGGGTACCCGGCGTTCCAATCTAATTGGACGTATTCTACTTGTAAATACAGTCTATTGGAATTATATTATGAATAAGGCATTTCTTTATCTTAAGAGAAAGCATTTATCTTATAATTGCACTTAAGATAAAATCCCTAGATCACTTATGGTTATAAGGTATGGTTACGCATAGAGATGGTGATCATGGAACATACCTTGAAAGCCGTGATCTTAAATACAGTTCCAAGTCGATGGATGTTTCGAGATGGGATATCGAATAATCCATAAAAGACTTGCACATAGTTTGTATGATTGTTGGACAAGAATGTTGTATTCCATCAACATTAGCGTAAGACGTAAGTACATTTATGTGGGTGCTTGTTAGAGAACAAGTTCACTGAACATGACCGTATGAAAATTCTTAATGAAGAATTTATTCAGTCGAATAAGAATTTTCATGTTACAATAGTACATGACTAATCCTAAGACTT